GCCCACGAAGGAGACCTCGGAAGTGCCATTGGCCTTTTTTAACATGTTGGTTCGCTTCTTCTTCCTATGAACACCGACAGTGTCTTCTGCCATAGACAAGGTATCTAGTATGTATAACTGATATACTCTATACTAAACGAAGAACATCCATTGTCCCTAGTATATTGAATATATGTAATGGACAAAAGAGTAGTGATACTATTCCCACTAGAAAGAGAAAGACTTTCTTACAAAAAGCCAAACAGCGATATATAAGCCCTGACTTTTCCCCCAAAACACCAAAAATGAAACCCAGGCACCAGAATAACAAAAGGCACAAGTAAAGGCCAGCCAGGAAGAGGGCTTCTTAGAGGAATGACCATACCGAACAGCAAGACATAATTGTCACAGCAAAGGATAGACCACAAAAAAACATATAAGGAAAATAACACAGGCAATGAAACATTGGAACCAAGCAAGACGAGGAGCCGCCACTAGGTACATACCATCCTTATTTTCTAGGATGATCATGACGCCGGACCAGTATGGAATGATATGTCGAAGACAAATGAGAAGAGAAAAGAAAAGAAAAAGGAAGCAAGGTCTAGTGTACATCGATAGGGCGAGAAAAACAAATTAAGATGGGTATCGTGATGCGAAGCAGCGGATAAGCTCAAAAGATGAGACGGCGCGAGAAGAAGAGGGAAACAAGCTGCGTGGTAGTGGCGGAGACTACCGTTCTCCAAACTTGCCATATTCCTGCTGCCACTTGAGAAGATGGCGAGTGAGCACGTCCATCATCTCGACGCTGCTGAGCTCCTTGAAATCCTTTTCATGGGTCGTAGACGACTCGCCATAGCCGCCGTCTGTGGTTGCGGGACCGGACTCGCCGCCATCGCTGCGCGTGGAGGGCATGGCACTGTCGATCTGATCGACCATGCTCTTCAAGAGTAGGCCCTGGGCCCGGTCGCCGTTGCCTGTAGGGGTGGAGGAGTTCTCGCCAGCAACAGCCATCTCCACTTGCATGCGCGAGATGAACTCCAGGATGGCTGCTACTCGGCGCTTCATCTCGTTCATCGTCGTTCGCTGTGGGTGCATGTGGCGCGGCTTGCTTGGCCGTCCTGACTCCCCACCATTGAGGTGTGCTCCGTTGACACCGCTGTAGCCAACGCGAGGGGAGTCTCCACCGATTTCGTGGGACTGGCCGCGGCGCGGGGAGTTCGCCATATACCCCGAATCTCCATTCCCATTGGTGTCCCGGTCTTTTGTATATTGGTTTCGTCCAACACGACCGCGACGAGCGGGAGGTCGACCGGACTTGCGGGTTGACGGACGAACAGGTGTGGGCTCTTGTGGAGTAGGGGTATTAGGGCTTGCTTGGGACGGTTCAGGTTCTGGCGGTGCAGTCTTGGTTGGGGAGCCGATTTCGTGCTCGGATTCTGTTATAGTGTTAGAATGAGGGCAATTGTGCACTTGGGCTGTATCACTTACCATCTCCTTTGCGCCGGGTTGATCGTTCTTTCCGACGATTCATCGCTTCAGGAGCCTCTGCCTCGCCCTCATCGGCGTCGTTTGTAGGCTCTTTCTCCAGCTGGGCCCGAGATGTAGCTCTCTGCCTGCGAGTCCCATTGACTGCGGGTTTTGGTTTCGCCTCTTCATCAGAAGGCGGGTGAGATGGTATATTGCTATGCCTCGAGACAGCGCTAGGTGACGGCGAAGTAGTTCGTGGGCGTTTCGCTCTTTCTCTGTTCCTGGGTACCTGGTCAGCCACATTATCCGAGCCAATGCCGTTCAGCTTGGAAATACGCACGTCACACTGTCACTTCGACTTCGCTTGCCCAAATGTGTGTCTGTCTCATCCGCATTACTTTTGGTCTCGGCCTTGCTCTCCTCGATTGCGCGTCGGATCAATTCTTCTTCGTCGTAAGCAGCATCCCGGCTGTTCATTGTTGATCGCCGCTTGGCGTGTGCGGCGGCACTCTCGCTGTTCCGGGATTTGGGATCTCTGGAACGCCGTGATATATCTCTCGATGAGGCACGAGAGGACGGACCGGGGGACGGGGCCACCGCGGGCACGATTGGACCGACTGGGCCTACTGGCACTTCAGGTACGTCAGGTACGCCAGGTACCTCAGGTACCGTGGGGGCCGGGGCCGGGGTCGGGTCCGGGACCGGAGCTGGAGCTGGAGCTGGGGTTTGGGTTCGAGGAGGAGGAGGAGGAGGGGGTGGTGGTGGTGGCGGCGGAACTGGCTCTGGTGCAACAGGAAGGTAGGTAGAGGAGCGTTGTCTGTAGAATTGTTAGTATGCTTCTCCAGAATGTTCGATATAGCAGCAAATAGTAGTCATTTGTATTTCATAACTGCTTGGGGGAGTGATTGTGCTCGAGGCTGCTTCGGGAAAACAGCCCCTCCAAGCAGCAAAAGCAAAGCACCAAGCACAACCAAGCCATAGATCGACGGAATATGCAGGAATATGCAGGGCCTAATAAATTCCAAGAATAACGGGGTTTCACTCACCCATGGGGTTCGTCTTTGATCTTGTGCAAATCCTTCCGGCACTCCTCGCAGAAATATTCGTCAGGACTCGTTGCCTCGTCCATGATTCCAACACAACCACCATGTTGCCAGACTTTACACAAGTCACACTGGATGAACATGCTCCCAACCTCATCCGACAGAGGATCAGATGGATCAGTGGGGACTTGTCCCGACTCCAGCTTGATGGTGCCGCGACCGAGGGCCTCGCGACGAGAAGCAGGCAAGCCCGGATATTCTTGCTGACCGCAGAGACACCGAGTTACTTCCTCTTCCTCATCATCTAGGTCATCCTCGTCTTCTTCACGGGGTGGATCGTCGTCGTCGTCATGAGCGCGCTGGCGCTTCCGCGTATGTGGAAGGTCTTTCGAGCCACCATCTGCATCATCGATGGACTGAGAGCGGTTGCCAGTCGATTCGTGAGGAGAAGGATTTTTATGATTCGATCGAGTGCTTCTCTCTCGAGTATGAGAATTTGAGGAGCTGGAGGAAGAGTTGGTATGTTGTCGGAGGGCAGGAGAGGGCTGGGAGGTGCGAGCCCGAGAGGAACGACGAGGAGTCATGGTGGGGGGAGGGCTGAGGATTGTAGGAGAGTATAAAAGTGAGCTCTGAAGACCAAATTAGGAAAAATCAAAAAATTTTCGAGCCGCTGGTTGGTGTGGTTCCAGCAGTAACTCGAGAAAAGCCGTTTGCGAGGGAGCTCTTACGCGCGATTGAGAGCTCTTGGGAAGGGTGCAGTGTCAAGTCGGAAGGAGCAGGACAATTGGAAATCACAGATCTGTATAAAGGCGTCACAAGGCTCGATAAAGAGCCCGATGACTACATAGTCCGAGAAATGATTCCTTGTAATGGCGGGGAGGAAGAAGAGAAGGAGAAAAGCGCCGGAACGGGACTCCAAAAGATCCAATCGCCGGTTTCCCCGCTCTCGACGCCTCTCAACGCGCGAATCTTTTACCACTCAGGCCGTTCGTGTTTCACTTCTTTTTTTCCTATTGCTTATGGATGAACTTAGTGCTGTTTATATATACTTTTTGGGGCTATAATTTCGGCCAAATATTTACTATGTACAATGGGTTTGCGGCCCACTAATTGGTGGTTGTTTTTTTTTTCTTTACTACCACACCAGGATAAAGCAATGAGGGATATTGCAAGTGAAAGGGAGCTGGCCAGGGAACAAGGCACAAGATGCAATACTGTATAGGGCTACCGGAGTCCTTGTTTGAAAGACCGATGCGATTCATCCCCAGTGAAATAACATAGAGAGCACTGCCAAAAATAGGTCTAATGGCCTTGGGAGGCTTAACCCGCCAGACTCGACTTTGGATCTTCCTATGTTGTAGGAAGAATAAGACCAACTGATCTTATGATTCCCTATTCTCAAGTTCTGTATATTCTCAAGTTCTGTATGTCCGGACTATCTTTCGTACCGAGTGTGCCTCTCATTCCGAGCCGAACCCGTTTTTGGCGTCGGCAGGACAACTTTGGCCAAGTTGCAAGTGAGAATTTATTCTCCTGAACATCTCGATGATGTATTTATTATTCCGAGAAGTGCTCCTGGGTGAATTGGTGGTTGGAGAGGCAAAACGAGGCTGTGAGCAAAGCCTCGCGGAGGGGCTCAGTGGTCATACCACGCACGATTGGGGTTCGTCGCGCGTTGCGCAAGTTAGGGCTATGCTTCCTAGTATAATCAGCAAATTCATGACCAGCATTCAAGCAATCCTCACACTAACTATCTCTTAAGCAGTGAGTTTCGTAGGTACCGGAGTTTGGAGATGATCGGAGAACAGGACTTTTATGCCCCTCAAGTAGAGAATCCATCAGTGTAATGGTTCTAATATACCATGGGATCTGGAAGATGAACCAAACATGTACTCTCAGATGTCTGATCTGCAGATTGTTTCTTCAGAATGATGTGCCTAGGTAATGCCACTTTTCGCCGAAGTCATTAGGTAGATGATTACTTAAAGGAGATTAGCGTGTTTTCCAAATTCCCGTGACTTGTCTCTTTCTCTTCATATCCCTCAACCCCTCTTAGTAGTTATTCTGATTCTTTTGCCTTGACTCTGACACTGGATCTGGATCCAAGTTTGCTTCACTTCCAACCTTGGATCCCATCCTATCAATCTTGAATTTACAAAGTGCTGAGTAATAGCACTATTTTGTGGTAGGTTGATATTCATGACTCCGGGGATTGTGGACGGCAGAGGAACGCGGGGATTGGATTGAATCCCAGTTATATGTTGACCTCACCGCCTATACACCTTTTGGATGGTTGTTATTGAGAGGTAAAAAGCTTATGACCGTGACCACAGACATTGAAGACATTGCCTCCCAATTCAACACTCAACATAACCCCCCGACTTTTGGATTATTGGTACCCTCAAAAGGAAATACTGTGGCGGGGGATAAAAGGACAGAGCCAAAGGGCTGGAATATCATTCTCTTAGCATTGTGGGCGGTTGATGGCGAGCGTGGATATCTTGCATGATGACAGCTACATTGAGTATGTCTGCTCAGGGACATCCTGTCCGGATGATCAGGAATTCCCCAATTCAGGAGAACGATCACCTAGTTGACTGAATACTGACGATGCATGTAGACGGGGTGTTCAATTCGTCTCCTGACACACCCTCTACTATCTACCCTGATCGTCTCATCCGTCCTCTACCTAGACGGACCCTCCGTTCACGCCTTTCTTCCGATGCTGCCGACACCCTATTCTATCCTCCTACACCGCCGGCATCCCAGATATTCTATGGCGTCTCTGCGGATTCTGAAGAAGCGGTGAATGAATCCAAAGTTTATGTGCAGCAGACCGTGGAGACTGAGTTGTCACCAGAGGTTGACAGTCATGAATTTGAGACATCAATAGAGTTGGAGAGCGGTGATGAAGGCGGTCCGATTGTTGTTCGGAGGAGTGGTGTTATCCGGAGATCTTCGCTGTCACCTCCCGTGTCTGGCACTTCACACAGTTTCCCTCACGACACACCGCACACAAAATCTTCAACAGGGGACGGTTACGACGCGTTTGAGAATACCAACAACAAGAAAAAGAGAAAGATACCTACCCCTGGAAACTTAGGAGGGCATCATTCAGCTTTGTCTCCGGAGTTCGCCAGTATGGGGTTGGCCAGCTCAACCCCCGTACGGGTTCCCACCCCCACTGACGCCACTGGCACATATTATGGGAGTGGGAACCCTGCGTCCCCTTTGGGGAGCGGGATATCTGGTTCAGGAAGAGGTCGATTGGGGCGTCCTACTGTTCGTAGCAACAGCAGGAATCCGTTATCGCCCAATGCTCAGCACGGTTGGTTGAATGCCCGGACGCCCAACCGGCGGGACGGGTTGATGCCTTCCCCTGGCCCTTCTGGTATGCATTTCCATTCTTCCTTCCCCCAACACACTGGTTCTAATTTGTACACCAGGTGAATCCACTTCTGACCAGGGAATTATCTCGACCGCGATCGCCAATGCCGCAACACACTCCTCTCCACCTCAAGGTCCCAGCAATGTCAGCCTGTTGGAGAAAGAAAAAGAGAAAGAGAAGGAAAATACCACTCCTACTAAGACCCAATTCACTTTTACATGTGAGTCTGATTCGTCCAAGGGCATGGCGATGCAACGAAATTATTCAATCCCTTATCGATCCCCCACTTCACCACTCGGTCCGGCAGGTCAAAAACAGAGGGGTTTCTCCACACATGTGACACAAACTAGCCCCCTGAACAGCAACCAGGCCCCACCCGGTACGCAAACACCCGCTCAAAGCGGAGAGCCAACTCCCGTGGGACCCAAGAAGAAACGGTCTCCAAGCAGCACATATGCACTATCTGCACGTCAACGCAAGATCCAACAACAATACACCAACTTTCACCATCCCCCGAGTCTCGAGGACATCTGGATTTGTGAATTCTGTGAATATGAGAGCATCTTTGGGCATCCACCCGAAGCCCTGATCCGACAGTATGAGATGAAAGACCGCAAAGAGCGCAAGCGACTGGCGGAGAAGAAGCGACTTTTGGAAAAGGCTAAGATGAAGGGTCGCAAGACCAAGAAGGCGACCAAGAACGCATTGAAGAATGACTCTCACCATCCTTACCAGCAGGGATACGACCGCGCTTCAGTGGACCACTCCTCCTCTGGCGGTGGGTCAGGTCTCCCCGACGATGAGTACCAAGGACATGAATATGATGATGATGAAAGTTCGCCTATCCCACCTTCCGCCCCTGCGCCCCCTTCCGACCTCCGGCCTCCACTACCCACTGGAAATCATCCGAAGATCACTGCGTCTGTTCATGGCCTTAAGGGTGCTGCGGATTCTGGAGCAAGCCGACCGGCATAGTTGACCTACCACATCCACATGGCTGTTCTTTGGCGTTTCATCATTGCAGTTGTTTATTATTTTTCTTCTTTCTTTCCGGGATTGATATGGTGTTGGGGTGTTCTCGGATTGTTACATGCTAGGAAATCCCCTCTCAAGCATGTTGGTATGGCGAGCAACTCATCGGACTTCGTTGAAGTTCCTGGTTATTCTTTGTAATTGTAATGTCCATGATATGTATCTTCTGAATCAAATGTGAAATGATCCAAAGTCCATTCTTGTAGCATGTATTCTTTTCATTCTTTTCTTAGACTAGACACTCTCTATACTTGCATACTCCAAAAATAGAGTAGGGGAATTTGATTGGACCTCAAGCAACCCGCACTTTTGAAACCATCTCAAACCCGAGTTGGCGCGCGCGAACTGAAGCTACTCCACCATACCAGGATCATGAGTTCTGCAATCCCTAGCTTACTAGCTTTGTGTTAGCGTTTGATGTCAGGGGGGATGTTCGGCATTCTATTTTGATCTGCACGTTTCATCTTCTCGTCCCCGACTCATTGTCTTTGGATGAAAGACGACGATACACAGTGGAGAAACCCTACAACCGCGCGCTCAAAGGAGATGCGTTTCATCTTGGGCTACAGATGTCAGAAGAAAAGAAACATTGGGCTTTGTTGTCTTGAAGTTGTGACGAATATGGCCGGGGAAACAAGAATAGGGCTGGTATATAAAGAACAACCCTGGCTGTGTCATTGATGAAATCAGACTCGTCTTTCATTCTATTATCATTCTTCTTTCTTTTGTTCTCTTCTATCTCTATTATACACTTTGAATCCGACAAACAACTTTCTCTTTGTCCTCATATCTACCTATACAATCTCGACAATCGTTTCGTTCCTCTTATTTGGCATCTGGTCTGCCGAATCTTGGAACAATCCGAACACTCGTCTTGTTCTCTTCGAATTCACATTTTATTTCTCTACTTCTTGATATAATCTCTGCGCTGTGCGCCATCGTCCCTACATAACTTTACTTCCATCCACACCATCCAACTTCCAACTACCTACCGACTATCATCACATCACCACCTCACCAGAAACCAAATGTCCTTCCTCGCCGTCCCCCTCCTCAAACTGGGCTACAACCAAGCCAAAAAGCACAAAGCCAAGAAAGACCTCCAAAAATACCAAAACGCCGGCGTCTACCCGCCAAACTACCAACCAGAGCAACACCCAATGAGCGGCTACCCAGCGGGCGCGACCCCAGGCACAACAATGCACTTCGAGTCGCCGCCGCAAGAACAAAGCAAAAGCGCCAAGCTCACCTTCATGTTATTCACCGGTCTCCGCTTCCTCCAATTCATCTTCGGTCTAACCGTCATCGGCCTCTACGGCCGAGACGTCCACCACGACCATTCGGAGAAACACACCTGGCACTCGAAATGGGTGTACGCGCTCGTCACGGGCTTCTTCGCAACCGTCACCGCGGCCGTCCATCTCGTCTTGCCGTTTGTCATGCGGAAAACTAAACTCGGCGCTGGACAAGGTCCTGAGCTGCTGCTGCCGCAGTTTGCGTGGGAGTTTGTTGTTACCGTTTTGTGGTTGACGTTGTTTGGGATCTTTGGGAAGATGTATATTGGTGTTCATCCTTCGGAGGGCTCGAGTTCGAGTTCGAGTTCGAAGACGGATATGACTTCTGCGCTTGGTGATGCGTCGAAGATTAATCGCATGCGGCATGCTGTTTGGATTGATATTATTAACTTGGTGTTCTGGGTTATGACTGCTTCTTGGGTCTTGGTGCGCTGGTTGAAGAGTCGCAGGTCGGCTGTTTCTGATGCGATTGATGCTGAGAAGGGTGGACAGATTTAGATATTGGGAGGAATGCTCGCTTTGATAGTGGGCTTGTTGGGTGGAGTCTGTTATGGATAGATGCCTTGATGGTATCGGATGGTAAATGGGGGGTGAATAGCATTTCCTTTTTCCTTTTTTGTATCTGGCACGCACTTAGGCTCGGGAGTCATGGTGTATAGTGCTTTCTGCCTCTTTTTATGGATGGCATTTTTCCAATACAAAGCATTTTATTTTTGAGACATACGTAGCTCCGGTGGCTTTGGTTTAGATGTAGCCTCGTCCATGGAGGTTACTGTACGAATATTGAAATACAATATACAGAATAAGCCCTAAGCAGGCACTTGGATATCATGCACATTATCGTTTCTTGTATTTGATTCTCGGGTCATCAATTTCGATACAATGAGCGAATGTAATCTCATTGTTTTCCAAAGTAACCCGCATCATCTGGGATCCTCTGGTCAGCATGCTCTGAGGTATGGTAATGTACAGTATGTTGAGAGCCGGCAAAATCAGAACTGAATCTGATGTGTCTTACCCGGAGTAATTGTCGTCCTCCGGACCAAGGCTCTGTCTCTCAGTGATGAGAGATCATAGCTTCACTCCCTTCATAGCAGACGTCAGCAAGGAGGCCTCCTTGACAACGGGGACAATAGTAGGTTGGGCAGCAGGGAGATTTGGGTCAACAGTCTCATGGTGTGAGACCAAGTTCTTGAAAGGTTGTAGGACAGGAAGTGTCGAATCGAGAGCATCGATATCCGTCCAGTCCCCCTCGACCTCATCAGGAGAAGAAAGCTGCGGTCCACCAGGCATGTCAAGGTGGCTCTCCTTAACATTGAATGAAGGTGTGATCTTGCAGAAATCCTCAGGGCTCAACATCGGGTGCCGAAGGGAAGAAGCTCGCGGAAAAGGAACAGGGCACGTCTTCTGTGCTACTTTCGCAACCTCGGCGGCGGAAGATTCATCAAGAAATTCATCGTCGAACAGTGGAACAGACGGCTTGGCAGGCTTTGGCTCAGGCGCAATCTCACGTCCGAGATCGCGCGCGATTTGGTCTTCCTCGTCACGGAAGCTGAGGTGCTGCAACAGACCCAGCTCTACATAGCTGTCTTCGTAGACGGTGTCGGCTCCATCGGCCTTGGTGGTGGGCTCAGAGCACCGGCGGATTGGAGGTGCCACTTTCGGGATGGATGTTTGCGAGGACTTGCGGCGGTTGAAGACTGGGCGGCGGCGTGGGCCTCGTCCAGAGCGTGTCGCAGTAAGGTAGGTCTTCTTGGGACCTTGCTGGCCCACGTTCTCTGGAATAGCAGTGGAGTTACCAGCTATGGATGTCTTCTTGGAACCCTGGTTGCCAACCTTCTCTGGCATCAGGGTGGGCTCGGCGTCCATCGTCTTGTGATGCTGATTGCCTAGATTGGTGGCGGGTTCATCAGCCATGCTTGCGGTGGGTGAGTTGGAAGGGTCGAGCGTTATTTTTGTGCCGAGAGGAGTATCAAGGAGCAACCGAGTTGCTTTATATGTTTCAACCTGTGAAGGCTGCGGCTTTTTCAATATTGAGTGAGGAGAACAGGCTCCGGCAGCGCAGCCTGACGGATTCTTATTGATGGGCTTGCATGAATCGTCAATATGGGATTGACATGGTGCGATGTGGAACAAACTTGTGTTTACCTTTTCTTCTTTGTCGCCGGTCCCAGGCAACGGTGGGACGGTCACCCTTTGTCCGACTAATACTGCCGATGCCTTGATGCGCATAATAAGACGATTTAGGGTATGGGAATTTATGCGGCTCGAGAGTCGTTTAGTGCCCCATATCCTCCAGAAGAGATTTTCTAGGCGACGCTCGATCTCATCTTTGCTGGCTAGGTAGGAGGTTGAGTAGGCTGTTTGTTGTCCGTCAGTCAGCCAGCCCTTCCACAACGAGACCAGGAGCAGGGGGTGTTACGTTACCTTGCCAAAAGTTCTTGTAAACACCGTTACTTAATGTATCCTGCTCCAAGATCTCGCTGGGCGACACACTGGACATAGCCACAAGACCTTGGGGGAGCTTTGGCTCCATCTTGGATGTTCGTTTTGGTACTCTTGAGATGAAACCGGGATATTGAATTTGTAGAGAGAAGTACGAGATGAGCGACGTGAGAACGGCAAGACTGAGGAGGGGCTGACTCAAGTGATACTGTTGAATGGCGCGTGAACCAGTCGTGCTGATGTAAAGTCAAGGTTCGATTTCATCTCATCCTTTGTATTCAGCACAAACAAAATGCTGAGGAAAAAGAAAGAAAAAAGGAGCTTGACAAGTGGGCTCTGTAGAGCGAAATATTCTCGCGTTATTCTTCCGGGTACCTCGCTACTCTGATGTGGCGAGTCAATACTTTGAAGCTCTTAAGATATTCAACGTTGAACTTGGAAGTTGATGTACCACATCAGTTAGAGCGTTTGAACATGCTCAACTGGTTTTTATTTTTAGGTATGAAGATCATGACTGTAAAAGCTATATGCACTCCGCACTCCACAAAAGAATCAAAAAGAATCAAATGTCGAGAAGTTTAGAGACAAAAAGAAATTTGAGGAATGTAGTACCCCAGGGTTCGCCCTTGCCTGTAGCGGTCAAGGTGGGGGGGAACACACCCCCTTAGATTCAAAACCGGACCGAATAGATCTTCCTTAAAATCTCCCCTCTACCTTGATCCACCTAGATCTTCTCCCTTATTCTTCCTAAATCTCCTTTCTGGAACTTCGTCTTCTCCGGATAACCGGGACGGGCCGGGATTGGGCTTCACCGTTCCTATAAGTGCGTCCAGGTGAAGTCTATAGTTACGATACAGGAACAAGAAAAGACTACTACTTACTATGAATAAGACGAAAGCACTGCAATTGAGACTAAAACATAAAAGGATAGGTTGAAGAAGACCCTTCTCTCATCGTTACATTCCAAATTGCGCGTCCTTTTGCAAGCAGGGATGTAGCAAAGACAGCCCTATCGGCGGCCGACTTGCCAAATGTGATACAGCACAACCCCCAATACTACCTGAAGAAAAACTCCTCAGAGCAAATCAAGGAGCTTTACCGAGGTGACATTCATAGCCACATGCCCCTTGATCCGGTGCATCCAATAGGGGAGCATCTCTCAGGTATGCGGTATGCGGAGAAAACCCGGGGAAGCTTGTGATTGGGTCTGATAGAGGTTCTCCAGGTTTGCTCCACTTCAAATCCACTGCAAACGATCTAGAAGACCCAAGTAGAAAGGTGATCGTAGAAATCTTTAATTCCCGAGTCGATTCGTGCAGATATCGAGCATAATATAGATACCAGCCGGCATTGGCCCAGCTTATAGGAGAGATTAACTATACGATAACCACTCCATAAACCACTCCATGAGATCGGTTTCAAGCTACCCTGTGTGTTCCACAACAAATGACACGGGAAAGGAGATGTATAAGTACCTGATGTCGGGAAGAGTGCAACGTCCTGCATAAGCGTGAAGCAGGTTAGTAGAGAGACTACCAATAACGGCAGACCATCATTCTAATTCAAATTTGTTGTCCTGAATTATCACATTTCCAAGTTTATGTAGTGGTCAAATCTGCAAATAAGCCATTTTCCACATAAACTTTACAAGTCCTAGACAGTTCTAGTAGCTAGTTATACCGTCTACACTGCACATATGTACAATATCTACTCGTGAAGCCGAAGAGCAACAACCTGCCCACCATAAGAAACACCCCGCGCATCACCTCCACGAGTAGTAACATAAGCTAACCTCCGACCCGGCATGATCTGCACCGAAGTAGGTCTAATAAAAGCCAAACTATCACCCCCACCACCAACAACACTCTGCGTTCCATCCGATGCAATCTCCACAATGGAATAGGCCGGCTGCGCAACACAAGCATTACCACTAGCATCGATAGCAAAATCATCCCAATCGGAATCAGTATCACCCGCCTCGCGCTCCGGACGCGCAATAACCCGAATACGACCGAAGGTCCGACCATCTTCGCTAACAGACACCCGGGCAAAGATATTAAGCGCACTATTAGTGAAGTAGACATTATTTCCAACAACCTGTAGTCCGTTTATACCAATTGGCATAGACGAATTTGCAGGCGCGAAGAGAGCATCGTTCTTCAACACGATCTTCGATATGCCGGTGGTCATATCGACGCGGAAGATAGAGCCCAGCCGCGCATCTGCAATTAGGAGGATATGCAGCTGCGACGGCATTGAAGCTATGCCATTTAGCATCTCGACGTCGGGGATGTGGGCGACGATTTGAATAGTGGGGGTTGTGGCATTCTTGCTGAAATCGGTGTGGATGGTTTCGTTATCGTAGTGGTATGAGCCCTGTATCCCCCCTACGACGGCATACTTGTCATGACTAATGGATGTAATGCCGGTTAGAGCTGTAGCACCAGGAAGTGTGGCGACTAGCTCGGCTTTTGGAGTGCGGGATTGCGGGTTGAGGGTGTAGAGATGGGCATTGTAGAAAGTTGTGAGGAGGAGATGGCCGTTTGGGCGGAGCTCGGTGTTTTCGATGTTGATTGAGCTGGTGAAATTGAATAGTTGGGTTGTTGATTGAGCGGATGTGGCGCTGGCTAGTATAGCCAGGCTCAATGTGAGATTGAAGCGCATGGTGGGTTGGGGGATATAGAACGTAGTAGGAGGAAGGGGACTCTAACTGACAAAGAGGGGGGTTGTGTTTTATTTACATTAGTTGTAGAGGGACTTTCTTCAGCCTTGAGGGGTTAAGAGGGTTCGGCATGGAGTATGAAAGTGGTATAAGTCGGAGATAAAAAGAGATCGATATAAGAGCGAAGTAGCCAAGACGGGAAATGGTCGATTTGGGGCTTTAACGGGAAATTAGCACCGAGATGTGGGAAAAACGTATTCCAGATTGATGAGATGGGCATATTAAGCAGGATAACAATGTACCCTGTGTTTTGAAAAGCTCTTCCAAGTGGCTTTCTAACAAAGCTCTATGTACTCCGTACATGATTCGTCAATGTGCAATTGTGCGAGGTTGTTTCGTCTAACGCTCACTATCATCCTCTTGCGCCGCTTGGTCAAAAGATCAACAGCAAGCCTTTGCAATAGACGCATCAACCATTTGGGCCGCCAATTTGAATAGAGTAGGTACATAGACTGTTCAACGGTCCCAAATACAAAGTCAACCTGGGACAATGTTTCGAACCACATAGGACACCTGAGAGACTTGTTTGTGGAGTTCAACGGCAAATGATCTGCCACGTCGATTTCTATAATGATAGGGAGCTCTTGTTTGTCGAAAATCCTTCGTCGCACAAGATATGATCGTTTTAGACTGGACGCAGCAATGAGCACATGGAGATCGGCACCTGTGTAGAGCAACCTCCTTTCGGCATACGATTGATTTGGCCTAATATGATATTATGGATGTTATAGCAAAAAAGCTTCCTTTGGATGTCCAAAATACAAAGCTAATGACCAGTAAAATATTGACGGGGAGATCGGAATCTGTTCCGTCGGGATTCCCAGTTCCAGGTTATCCGCATCCCGGAATGCAGGTGAGTCAGATCAGGTCTATTAATACGTTGGACTTTTGCATTCCGCAAGGAGGTGTTGGGATAAGCCAGGGAGTGGATGTTTCAGATTTCCTTTTCTGGGCAACACACAGGGGTCTAGACCAGCCATCGAGACATAGCTCTTTTTGTGATCCCAAGGCTATTATTGTGCGCTCCCCAACACTGCATGATTCAAGCTGTGTTGTGATTGGAAGTGAAGAAAATCCCAAATGACTTTTAAATCAAGCCACTCTTAGAAAAGAGTGACAGATTGGCGGAGTAGGCTCTAAAATGCAAAACCCGGGATGCGTGACCAAATTATCCCGTATCTCATGCCAGATATGACCGGTCTATACCGGATTCCCATGCACGAAAGGAAAACTAGTATCATGCAACATGGAAATAAAAAATGGAGATTAAATTATGCCCAGATAGCATGCTTAGGTCACGGTGTAGCCGCCGTCAACGCGGAGATCCGCTCCAGTGATGTATTTAGAGGCATCGCTAAGAAGGAAAGTGACGGCGCCCATCAGATCCTCCGGTGTACCCATCTTGCCAGCCGGAATGAGAGAGGTCCATTGGTCGCGAAGCTGGGGGTTCTCGTCGAGGATCTTGCGGGTTCTGAATGATGAAGACAACATTAGCAACAATTCCTTTCCAGAAACTTCTTTACTCAAATATCTCTCGTTGTCTATGTAGGGGGTACTCACAGAGCAGTAAGCATATAGCCAGGGCTAATGCAGTTAACACGGATATCATGGCCAGCCCACTCCACAGCGAGCGAAGCAGCAAGGTGACGCACAGCTGCCTTTGCGGCGTTATACGGAGCCTGGGGCTGGGGAACATTAACAATGGTGCCGGACATGGAGCCGATCATGACGATGCTACCGGGCGCCTTGCGCTCCATCAGGTGCTTGGCAACATTGATGGCGAAGAGGTATGTGCCGTCAACATTGACCCCCCACAGCTTCTGCATACGGTCGAAGGGGTAGTTAATGGCCTCGAAGTTCTCGGTAAAGCCCGCTGAGGTAACCAGGTTGTCGATCTGGCCGTGCTTAGCCAGGACTTCGGCCATGGCGTTGCTCACGGAGTCAGGGTTGGCGACATCTGCGTAATGGGCAGTGACATTAGGCATTCTGTTTGGAATTAGCGACTGCGACGAGCTGAAATGGGTATGACAATGGATGCTTACTCTTCCAGACCGGGATTCTCCTTGCGGAACTGTTCAATCAACGAAGCAGCTGCGGACTCGGCTTCGTCCTCTGGGTGTAGATGTTAGGATACATTGTATGTCCCGGCTATTAGTAGTGGTTGCCAAAACATACTGTTAAGATCGATGATAGCCAAATATGAGCCAGAAGCGACAAGGCCTTGGCCCATGACCAGACCCAAGCCACGAGCACCACCAGTCACCACGCTGACTTTCTTTTCGAGGGAGAATTGAGCTAGAGTACGCTTAAAATGCATGCCGCCGCGTCCCTGGGCCACAGGCTGGGTGGGCATCTCGCTGTCGGGAGGATATTCGATGTGTACGCTTTCATCGGTACGAGCGAATTGACCCTCCTTCTCACTAGAAGCACCTTCGGGAGCCTTGGTCGTAGCAGAGAGGATGGGGTCCTTTGCGGGGTCATCGCTCTTCTTCTTTCCGAGTGAGGCAGTGTATGAGAGATGGCGAGTGAAGCCTGTAGCTGGGCGAGTAGCTGCAAAGGCAGGGTGGGCAGTGTTCAGGGCCCTTATGGTATTGCGTGCGACTGTAGGCTTGAACATTTTGAAGGTCACGGCTTCAAAGGCGTTAGAGCTGTGGGGGTATGAGATTGGGAGAGATGCGATATGTGATTTATGTGCGGAGGATGGGATTGGAGAGAATTGGTATTGGGGAGAGGGAAGGGTCTATCCAGGGGAAGCTGAGAGTTTCAAAGAAAGCAGGTCATCGGACCTTATCTTTTTTTTCTTTTCTTTTCTTTTTTTAGGGCTCAAGGGCTGGGGAATGCAACAATTGCGGTGAAAACAAGCCAATGGACAGCGGACGTGGATTGAATAGAGGGAGCTTAATTTGTTCTATTTTGGTATTATTTGAGGTTTCTTCATTCGTTGATTTTAATCCAAACTTGAAAATATAAAAAGCCGAGACCGTGATGTTAGATCGGCGGGTACTAGTTTCGTATTATATACATAGAGCACTTTGATTTATAGCACTCTATAACTATATCTAAAATTATTCTTTCTCATTCGAAGCTCTCTCCCAATATTTGCAGCTTGATCTTATATTGAAAGAACTACACATATCTTGTAATTGTAACTTATTATTTTCTAAAAGGACCAGTCACTTTCTGCACTTCGGGAACAACGCGCATTTGCCGTAGGCCAATGGAGAGCTCGGATTGACCTGTGTCATTTTTGTGTCATGCAGTTTGCATTTTGTCACCGAGTAGTATTATATATGTGACATTACTCGGTGAATAAATAGATCTCATATAAGGTAGGGTTCCAAAAGTAAATCAAAGGAATGTCCGGGGTAAAATATAGTGGACCATCTAGATTTATGTGGGGATTTAACCCCAGTTAACCCCAGTTTTATAACATCTCCACCTGGCCACCTCTCCTCTTAAACAGTGAGATGACCTTCATGATCCTCGACTTATTTATTAAGTTGCTATTGTCACTGATTTTATTTCACGAGATCATATGTATATATACACACACTGTTTCTCGGTTCGTATCCGAAACCACGCTAAGCCGTGTTTGGATAAAACTGGAATCGCTTACCTAAAAAGGGATTGGTCAAATATTGTCTTTCTCGTGCTTCTCACGGTTCAAAAGATGTCACTGTGTTCAAGAGCCTAATCAACTAGCTTCTTCGGAAGAGAACTAGAGCCAATCTGTCTTGGTCATGAATAAACGTATCATTTCACCTCGAGACATACCTACTTAGGTAGGTACATATATGTAGGCATTATGTCGGTGATAAGGGGCAGCTCCTACTTTGATATACAGCACATGACAATAACTAGTTAGTAGTCACCTAGTTAACTAACTTAACTACCTACGTAGGTAGTTAGTCTGCGGGCACGTGCCCGCTGCCCACTTATGTTGTAAGCAGCGCTGACCCGCAACCAATATAGACATAGACTCATCACCACTGCGACGCAGACACTCATCAACGAACGTGTCCTCAGCTCAACCCGGGTCGCAACTACGATATCTCGGAATATTTCCCGCAGACACCGAGCCGCAAAAGTGCCGTCGAAAGCACCCAGCTGCGTCATCATCTTACCTTTCCCTTAGCTTTCAGCATAACACCTGTCTCCATTTACTCAACAACATACTGTCGACCATTGCAGGAGTGCGATCAGAGAGATGCCGGCTAGCTTCCTCGGTCTTCCTGCGGAACTCCGCAACGAGATATACATGTATCTCCTAGTACGCACAGAGCCTATTGATCCCTGGAGTTCAGATAATAGTCTAGTACCCAATATCCTCTACACGAACACGAAAATCCTACACGAAGCCAGGTCACTACTTTATGGTGATAACTGCTTTGATTTCAGTGGGTCGACACCCAAACTTATAACTCAGTTTCTTGATGAGATTGGCTTTGCCAACGCATCTCATATTCGGTGTATCCGCATCGACTTCCCCGGACTTCGTGGTCTTAATGAAAAGCCCAGCCTGGAAGTAGACAGCCTTGATATACCGGAAAAGACCCAGTGCCACTGCACCAATCTCAACAAGTTTATCATAGCCCCAGAGAGCACAGATACCATGGAACGTCACTTCGGTTCACTTGAAAGTCCTAACATCTGTGCTAATGCCTTGGCGCTGGTCGATGCTCGTTTCAGAGAGATTTCGTCTCTCCAGGACATCGTCGTCGAGGTTTATGGGAAAGTATCAAGCTCAGACATGAGAAAGAAGATGAAGAGCCATGGATGGATACTCAATGTGGTAGAGGAGGAGGATGGTTTTGAAAACGACGAGTATCTTTGCCAATACGACAGTGATTATCTTTGCCAATATGACAGTGATTATTACTAGGACGATGATTCTTACTACAACGATGACGACGATATTGACAATGAGAGTGATTTCTGGAGAAGGGCGGCAGATTAAAAAGTTTGAAGGTGGACAGCCCTTTCCAGAAGTTGCTACAGCCCAAAACTATATCAAATAATAGATCAAGCTGTCTAGCGTTCTAGCATATTGCCCTTCGAGTGCACTTGATCGCTCTATTTTATTTACCCTCCGGCCCGTCCATAGGTGATATCGTAGTCTACATTTACCTCCTAGCTGGAGGCGAAACAACTAGGATCGACCGCCTCATTAATAATGCCAAGGTGTATACCCAGGTATCTATCTATACATGGGGTGCCAAAAGGCTGTTGACGCCCCCGAAATCATCAACAAAATCGCCATTTTCAGCTTGGTTTATTGTAATATGTTTAGAGAGTAAGAGACCTGTGCGTCTTAATACTAAAAATCCCACTCTATTCAGACTCGGCGAATTCCACCAGCGGCGTTCCGCTCTTGCATTGATCCTACAAGGCATATGTTAGTCAGTTGTTCTTGAATCCCAATATAGGGTCATGGGGCCTTTTCCCTCTCCCCAGCTTTAACTTCCGGGTAGAAAATAGAAAGGACAGCCCAGACAGAAAGATAAACAAGGGCGAAAAAAATCAAAACAAGAGATTCAAATGAAACAAAAGATGTCACGCGGGTCCGGGGAATTCTACATTAAAGTCAGGGGGAAAGGCGCGTGACTTACTCCTTTTTTATGCACGATCCGTGCAATGGTGCCCTGTTGTGGACTGCGAATCACCGTCTCCATCTTCATGCTCTCGATAACAACCAACGGCTGGTCTTTCTCCACCACATCTCCCGCCTGTACCTCCACCCGCAGCACCTTACACGGCATCGGGGCTAGGACGCTGTTTGTCACATCCTTCAGTCCCAATGCCTTCTCCATCCACTTAGCCCGGGGCACCGTGAGCCGGTACTGGGTCCCACGCTGGAATGCAATAATAGTGTCCTCGTCTCGAACCACTGTTGTATCTAACCGGGTGTGCGCGAAGAACGATGTGACAATGTGTGACGCTGGATCCAGGCGGCTCACCACCTGCTCAAAGACTCTTCCGCCGACTTCCACGTTGAATGTGTCATCTGCTGTCTGCTGCACTCGTACACTGAACGTGGAGCCATCGGTAGACCCTGGGCCGCCGCTCTCAGTAAATGACAATTGTCGCTCTTGGTAACTAGGAGTGAACCCGACCGTTGATCCCGCAACTCCGGTTGAGGATCGCGCCCCTGAGACGGCGTCGCGATGTAGACAGGCCAATGCAACCTGTGCCAGCACCTCCTCCTCAATAGTCTTCGGGGGAAGAGCTCTTCACGGTGCTTCTCAATGTAACCGGTTTCAACCTCACCAGCGATGAAGTCCGGGCTCTTGCAAATGGCCTTTAGGAATTCTATGTTAGTCACAGGTCCTGCGACTTCATACTCCTCCAAAGCAGCAGCCAGCTTGCGGAGAGCCTCCTCACGATCTGCACCGCGCACGATAAGTTTCGCGATCATAGGATCATAGTGGGCTGAGACCTCGTCCCCTTGCACAAAGCCAGCGTCAATGCGGATATCCTCTGAAGTAGCCGGCGTTCGCACATGGAGTAGACGTCCTGAGTCAGGGATAAATCCCTGGGCTGGGTTTTCAGCGTAGATTCGGGCCTCGATGCCATGGCCACTCTGGGCGATACGCTCTTCCACTTCTTCTTGCGTAAGGGGCAGCTTGGCTCCTTCAGCCACCAAAATCTGCCAATGGACAAGATCCTGTCCTGTGACCATTTCAGTCACGGGATGCTCGACCTGGAGACGGGTGTTCATTTCCATAAAGTAGAAATCCCCCGAGTCATTATCGAAAATGAACTCCACTGTACCGGCACCTTCGTAGCCGACGGCCTCTGCAGCCGACCGTGCCTTTGCCCAGAGGTCCTTTCTAGTTGCATCAGGGAGATGAGGCGCCGGAGATTCCTCTAGAACCTTCTGGTGACGCCGTTGAATACTGCAGTCTCGCTCCCCTAGCGCAACAGAGTTACCATGCTTGTCTGCAAATACCTGGACTTCGATATGCCGCGGTGTGGTAATATACTTCTCCACCAGCACGTTGTCATCTCCAAATGAGCTCATGGCCTCTGACTTGGCCGATTCAAGCTGAGCTTGAAACACCGCCTTGGAACTGGCAATGCGCATTCCCTTTCCGCCACCTCCTTTGACGGCTTTGATAAGCACTGGGTATGTGATCTGGTCCGCCTGCTCCTCGAGGAAGGCAGGGTTTTGATTTTGTCCATGGTAGCCTGGGACGCATGGCACACCGGCAGCTGTCATGATCTCTTTGGAACGACTAGTACGGTACATCTGGTAAGCATACTGAGCATTCAAATACAGCAATGAACGTACCTCTTATCACCCATATCCTCAATAGCCTTATACGGCGGGCCAATGAAGACCAGCCCGGCCTCCGTACATTTTCGCGCAAATGCAGAGTTCTCACTCAACTGTGTATCAAGCGCTTAGTTAATATCTTGCCTGGAATCTAAATATTCACCAGCCAACTTACAAAGCCGTAGCCAGGGTGTATTGCCTGACACCCTTCTTTCTTTGCAATCTCAATAATCCTATCACCATCGAGATACGCCGACACCGACCCCAAATTAAAAGCGAAGGGGGAGCTCAAGGCATGTTGAGCTCGGCTATCCGGATCGGTGTAGAGTGTTGTTACGCGGATCCCACGCTCCGCGGCAGTGCGTCCAACTCGTCTAGCATGTCGAAGTTAGCACCATCAATTATACTTAATTCAGTGCCCAGCATACAAAGCAATTTCTCCTCGATTGGCTATAAGAATCGAGTCCAACGATTTGGTTGTATTTGATGTGTTAGTGGCCGATGATATAGCTCGCGATGTTCTGCGGGCCGCGGTCGGGGTTAAGCGGGGGGGTAATGCGGAGAAGGGATGAGAGGGTCATGACGGTGGAAGAACAGCCTTTCCAGCTGTAATGAGGTTTTTACAGAGAGTAACTTGGTTCACAGTGTAAGCATAATCAAGGTATTTCGAAGGATAAAGTAGAGAATGGGAAATGTTCAAGGGTTTGGAGAAGCTCTTGTTGAGCCGACGCAAAGCGAGATTGCGGGGAAAGCCGAGGGTATGAGATGACATAAGCAGCCGCTTTGGGAAATGTATGGTCACGAGGTCTTCAGCCCAGTCGATGTCTGCCAAGGCCCTCCATGGCTGGCCGAGTGGGTAAAATACATGGTAACTGGTTACCGTTACCAAATGAAGGAGTGATCATGGAGAATACCCATTGTTGAAATCCCCATGGGGAAACTTGGATGGTTTGGATTCTGGGGTTGATTGCTTAGGATGATACACCCGTTTCCTTTGAGCCCTGGGTTTCTATGCTGGATCTATTGGACAAGACGTAACGTCATATAACTTCTATCTTATCTGACAATTTCCACATCAGGCCCCGAGCCGCTTTTTAAAAGGGAGGTACTGGTAGTCCTACGAACAGTGATTTTATGTTATAGTTTGGTGAACTCCCATATCAGCTTCTGTGATATCCAACTGGCGACAGTGGTGAGTCTCGAGGTTACAACCTATCCCTCGAGCCAAGGCATTGGTCAGATAAAGCGAAAACAAGACTACGATAAGCATTTGGCTTATATCTCGGGAGATACAAAGAACTGTAGATCTATCTCTTAGTTATCCTGCAAGGTTATGGAATGATAGAAAACTAACGGCTCACGAGGACAATCTCGATTGCCAGCACACATCTTAATGAAAGCGGAATGTATTCAAACGTGGATATGCGATCCTCTAATACTGATGCAATCCCGGTGATATGCTCCGGACAGAACTTCCTTGATAGGAATGGCTTATCTAGGCTATAACGCACTACCCAGGTGAGTCAATCCAAGCGAAGTAACTATACCTTTAGTTGTTGCATCGACTATTAAAGAATGTGTGGGTGGGCTGCACTTATGCCTTTCCCGCTCCTAGGTCACAATTTGTGTTTTCAAAATTGAAAACCAACAGCAATTACCTTGTTGGGCTCTGGCACAACATATTACACCAACGATGAATCCTTTCAACCCGGTGAAGCAATATATCTGGGGACCTTCCCAGAAACCAACCAAGGAAGAAGTATTCGATCCAAAAGTATGTAAATCTAGATAAATCCTGACATTTGACCAAAACTTCGCCTCTAAGATTGCATCCAACAGATACACCTCAACTACATCCCACCTTCCAAGAAATTTTCAATGCGAGAATTGCTTCTAAGCAAAAGTTCAACTGCATCTCCCATTGCAGGAACAGTGCCATTTCCATTATTATCAGCCGAAGGTGTCAAAGCCTACCGAAGGGCTCTATTCCAAAAGGATGTTATAGAAAAATGTGCCAGCTCGCCATTCCCAGGGACTTTGGTTCTCCGTGATGCAGTGAAACAGTCAAAGTTTGTCAATGAATTTTGGACGCACCCCGAGACAATGAGGATTGTGTCTGAAGCAGTCGGTGTACCTCTGGAGGTGGTGATGCCGACGGAAATAGGGCACACTAACATTCAAGTTGAGGGCACAACCATCGCAGAAATGGCCAGCAATCTCAAACCTGAGCCGACGGTAGAAAAGCTCGAGTTGAGTCCTGAAGACCGAGCTTACGATCCTTTGAAAGATGCTAGTGCTATTATTCCGTGGCAGTAAGCTCATCCCCTGGCCACCTTGCTTGTGACAGCGGCAAAAACTAATTGGACCAAAGCTATGACTCGTATCCTTACGTTTGTGTATTGATGCTGAGTGACACTGAGGGTATGATCGGAGGTGAGACATATATCAAGAAGGGAGACGGCGAGGTACAGAAGGTGCGTAGGAATTTATCTTATTGAGACTGGAATATCCTTACTAACCATACACTGTGAAGGTTGAGGGCCCCCAAATTGGTCATGCCGTCATGCTCCAAGGCGGCGAAGTCTGTCATCTGGCTGCCCGGGCGAAAGGCGTGAAGGAGCGGATATCGATCATCACTTCATACCGTTCTACGATGCCAAACGTTTATGACTCCAGCTATATCACCAACGTCCGCCCTTATGCGGATACAAGTTCTCTCTATCCTGAATGGACACAATACCGCCTGCGAAAATTGAGAGATGAGCTTACCTATCATCTCGACAGGACGGAGAAAGAAGAGCCCGTCCAAGAGAGGAAGGATATACAAAATCTTATCGATCAGCAGATTGATTATCTACAACGAACCTCTCGACAGATGGTTGACCCCGAGTATACTCAGCAAATTTTGAGGAAGTATGGCAGGCAGTCATACTATGATGCACCTAGAATCTGGGAGACTGTTCAATCACTGCCGGAATTCGAGAGGCTTGCATCAGCTGCAGATGAGGAGCGATATTGGCAGCCGGGGAGCATCTATTGGACGGACCTCATGAGATCTATTGAAACAATTCGGTTAGGGAAACCTCTTCAGAGTGCTCTTGGAACCGCTGTGTGGGAGAAGACAAGCAAGTACTATATGGGGGATGAACTTCTACGACAAGGACTGAATGAGGCGTTCTTAGATTGGTTGGGATACTCAGGTATTTGGGAACTTTACTGCCACATTTGATCGGAAGAAATTGAGTCGACTACCACCATGATCTGACCTTTATGCCGGCGACTTTTAAATTGCACAAATATATTCCCAACCAAGACACATCCCCTATCAAAACGCCAAACAAGAACCAGCTGGACGATGATTGTTTTTCTACTATAGTATAGTACGACATAGATTCTACAATAAAATAAAGAATCCAAGTAATAACCATAATTTAAATTTTATTGTGTTGGGTCACTAGACAATCCGAAAGAGAGGTGCCATGCCCTCCCTCGAACCATCTAGCAACAACTATATAATAACCCTTTCATCAGACAGCCCGAAAGAGAGGTGCCATGCCCTCTCTCGGACTATCCAACTACACCTTCCATACATTAGAACCACATTCCATTCAAAAGGTAGAGCTCAACATCCATCTCCTCCAACATAAATTCGAGGCCTCGTTAAAACCAGCTCGAAGAAAACCCTTTGGGATAAAACAACGAGCTGGAAAGAGTGCCTCGTACATAATTGAATCCAATATCGTCTCCTCCAATCTCCCTTTGTTTTGCCTTGAATTTCCTCCATTGCTTTGTTGTTTTGTTTTGTTGCTTCTGGTGTTTTGGGGGTCAGGTGGATGGTCATCACTCCATCCACCTTGACCATCAATCTGGTATTGGTGTTGCTTGGTGTTTTGGTGTTTTGGGTGTTTTTGGGGGGCCGGGTGGATGGTCATCACTCCATCCACCTTGCCCATCAATCTGGTATTGGCGTTGCTTGGTGTTTTGGTGTTTTGGGTGTTTTTGGGGGGCCGGGTGGATGGTCATCACTCCATCCACCTTGCCCATCAATCTGGTATTGGCGTTGCTTTTGGTGTTTTGGGGGTCCGGTGGGTGGTCATCACTCCATCCACCTTGACCATCAATCTGGTATTGGCGTTGCTTGGTGTTTTGGTGTTTTGGGTGTTTTTGGGGGGCCGGGTGGGTGGTCATCACTCCATCCACCTTGACCATCAATCTGGTATTGGCGTTGCCTTTTGGGTGTTTAGGGGTCGGGTGGATGGTCATCACTCCATCCACCTTGACCATCAATCTGATATTGTATTGGCGTTGCTTTGGTGTTTCTGGTGTGTTTGGGGGTCGGTGAGTGGTCATCACTCCATCCACCTTAACCATCAATCTGGTATTGGCGTTGCTTGGTGTATTGGTGTTTTGGGTGTTTTTGGGGGGCCGGGTGGATGGTCATCACTCCATCCACCTTGCCCATCAATCTGGTATTGGCGTTGCTTGGTGTTTCTGGTGTGTTTGGGGGTCGGTGAGTGGTCATCACTCCATCCACCTTGCCCATCAATCTGGTATTGGCGTTGTCTTTTGGGTGTTTAGGGGTCGGGTGGATGGTCATCACTCCATCCACCTTGACCATCAATCAATCTGATATTGGCGTTGTTTGGTGTTTTGTTGTTTTTCGTGTTGCTTTTGTTCTTCTCGTGTTGTTGGGTATTGATAATGGTATTTTTTGAATGGTTTTCGTTGTTCTTTTGGGGCCAGGACAGTTTGGCAGCCCATGCCCATTTTATTCTTCGGGGTCTATTCGGTGGGCAAGTAGGTCCTCTCTAGGACCCAGTGGATGGGTGGGCTGCCATGCCTGTTTTCTTCTTCGGGTCCGTTCGATAGATAGTAGTGACACGGCAACCCATGCCCTTTTCTTCTTCAGGGCCTGTTTAATAGGCAGCTAGTCCCAAAGAAACAAGAGGACATATGGCGCTCCTCCCTCCCTCCTCGCTGCCGACTCTGAAGGTCCCTCCCTCCCTCCCTTCCTTCAGAGTCGGTTTGATGCGCAATTGTGTCCTCCTGTCTCTTCGGGGCTCATGGGTAGCATGGGTTGCCGTGTCTGTTTCTTTCTTCTTCAAAGCGTTCGGTAGGCAGTTGAGTCCTCTTGCTTCTTCGGTACCCATCGTATGACACAGGTTGCCATTCCCTTTCCTTCTTCACGTTCGACCGACTGCCATGCCTCCCTCTCTCCTCCGTCCTCTCTCCTCCGTCCTCTCTCCTCTGTCCTTGCTCCTCCGTCCTTCCTCCGTACTTCCTCCGTACTTCCTCCTCCGCCCTTCCTCCTCCGTCCTTCCTCCGTACTTCCTCCGTACTTCCTCCTCCGTCCTTCCTCCTCCGTCCTTCCTCCCTCCCTGTTCCGTAGCTGATTGAGGAACGTTCATGTGATATGTTGCTCACTTTCGATGTTCAGCGCGAAATAGCTGATCTCATCTGTCTTCCAGGAAGTGTTCACTACCGGTTGGAATGGCATCCAGTCCATTCCGTTCTGAAATTCCTTGCGGCCCGGGAAAGCCTCGTGGTCCTGGGGGGCCTAGGGTAGCAGCTCCGCTTGCAGCGTCCGCATCATTTCCATGGGAGTAGCTATTTGCTGCGGTGTGAAGCCGGATTCCGAAACTTGGGTGTCTGTGGTTTGTGCTCTAGCTTGTTTATCGGTAGAAGGTTCTTGGTGTGGCCGTTGCTGCTCCGTGTGATCCTGTCGGCGTTGGCGTTGGCCTATCGGCATTGCTGCTCCCATGGCTTGCATGAACTGCCTCGACAGTTTGACGTCTCCTCCTCCCTCCCTCCCTTCAGAGTCGGGTTGATGCGCAAGTTTGTCCTCTTGCTTCTTTGGGGCCCATCATATGGCACGGGTTGCCATTCCCTTTTCTTCTTCACGTTCGACTGCCATGCCTCCACTCCTCCCTTCGTCCCGACTCTGAAGGTCCCTCCGTCCCTCCCTCCGTCCCTCCCTTCAGAGTCGGGTTGATGCGCAAGTTTGTCCTCTTGCCTCTTTGAGACCCATCAAATGGCACGGGTTGCCACTCCCTTTTCTTCTTCGCGTTCGACCGACTGCCATGCCTCCCTCCTCCCTCCTCCCTCCTCCCTCCTCCCTTGCTTCCTAAAGATTGCCTTCGGATGTCGTGATATTGAGGCCTCATTAAAACCGGCTAGGAGAAAAACCCACGTGGGGAAAGCTTCCCAGCCGGAAAGAGTGCCTCGAGTGGTGTGTCGTACCATGTTGGTAGCAAGGATCACCATAGTGAATGTCGAACTGGGAGAAAACCACATGGGAAAAACTCCCAGTTGAACTTGAAGTGGCTCACCAAGAAATGCTCAACATAGTTGAATGTCCAGCCGGCAGGAAACCCAGTGGGAAAAACTGCGGGTCTGGACGGGGACGAGAGAGACCTCGACAGACGTTGATTGAACCGATCCCACACGATGCCAAATCCAGCTGGGGGTATGTCTTTTCCACATGGGAGTCTCAAAACAGGTATCGGTCAACAAGCGGGGTTTTAGAGCCCGAATTATCAGTTCCGAATGAAGACCACAGGCACCGCAGTCTCCACCCAGGACGTCAAACCGGGTATTAGGGATACGGATGCTCGGTAATCGGAGAGAGACCCGGGCCCTGGGTCTCTCTCTGAATAACCGGCGAAGATGAGAGAGGGTGAGAATCTAGGTTATCAGCCCCCAGTAAATTGTTTCACGGAGGAAATCAAACCTAGATATAGGAATCGCGGATGCTCAGTACTGTGAATAAAGGCTAGGGCCCTAGCCTCTACCCAAGCACTGAGGTGATGAAGTTTACAAAAATTCAAAATTCGAAGCATACAGGTAGTTTCTTCCAAAAGACTTTGGCTGGTTTGTTAAATTGAATCCTCTTCAGCAGGTGGGAGTCCCAGTTGGGACGAACAACGGGGGCCCGCGGAAGTACATCGTGTGGGATGGTTGTAGAAGGAAAGAAAAAATGAGGAGGGGAGGGGAAGTGGAGGGGTATATATAACTTCATATTGTCCGACATCTACTCAGGGAATCGGCGTATGTGAGATGAATGGGCTGTATAGTTTAGATGTCCGGTCCGGATTAAGGAAGTGTATACTGTAAAAGGCATAGTACATGGAACTTACTTGGAGGGCTATTACATTTCAAGAATATCACCTGAACACTTGAGCACTTGTGTTACCGTAATTGGAAAATGCTCCCAGTCATTTGGTGTCTGAATTTTGAATATTGCATGCATTTTCGACTAATTGTTGACCGCGACTGTATACAGAACGGAAGGCGAAATCAGCTTTCTTCCATAACAGAGTTTATATACATTATGGACCCTCTCCGATGCTCTGAATAGAAACCCATTTTCTTCTCAGCAGTCAAGACATGTATGGCTATGATTTTGAATTCTTCCTTCTTCAACTACCATCTCTACAATTTAGTTTCGATTCAGATTCACTTCAGATTCAATTCAATTTCAATTTACTTTGGAAGTCCCTATGCCAATTTTAGAAGGCATTGATTTTATTAACCTAACCTAGGTATTCAGACATCTTTAAGCACCGACAAGCTTTAATAACTACAACATTAGTGTATCTAAATTACTGCTGGCAATATGAATGAGCCCATAGCCCTGGAGGGTAAACGCGATGTAGATCTTCAAAGTGGAGAAACGCCAAGGCTTATGTTAGCAGGATTGCCATCTTCTTCAATGCACGATCAATTCAATCTTCACTCTGTCACATCAGCCGTGCATCCTCGTTTTGCTCGTGCTATACATATATTTGCTTGATTCACTTTCGTTTGAGTCTAGTCATTCATTTAGCAAACGCCTCCTCGAACCCCTCGCCACTCGATTCTCATTCAACTTTTTTTTCAGTATTCACTCCACGATGTCCGACGACGACGAGTACTACGAATTCGAGGATGATTACATGTACGAGGATTTAGTCCCAGACATGGTCGTAAGTCAAACCTTCAATACGATGCCTAGACCGACTCGTGCCATCAAATCTGCACGAGAAAACATCATCAATTCAGACCCTAACCAAAACTTTGCTTGTCCAGGACGATCTTGCCGCTTCCTCACACTACGAAGCCGCCCTATACGAAGACCCTGGCTTTGACGTCGAAGACTATTTCAGCGACTGGGACTATTATTCAGATGATTACCACGACGATGACGCAACCGTCGATCAAAGCGCAGAGAGAAAGAAAAGAACCGAGATCGCAGCCACAGCACCACGACGAACAAAGGCATCTGCCCGTCCAAAAAGCCACATCACCCGAATCCCACCGACGAAATCACCCCTGGTGCCGGATACCGCCTCTTTCCAGGGCGTGGTGTGGAAAACACCCGCACTGGACCGGGACCAGGACGTCGCCATTTTGTACGAGCCGGACACGGGCGAGAAAGTCGCGCTTCTAGAGAACTGGCGGGAAGTCTTCAAATCTGCCCAGCCGGCGCTGGATAAATCGCGCCTGAAAAAGCGAAACGTGATCGAATCCAAGCCTGTCGATCTGTCGCTGGCTGATGATGAAATGCCCGCTGGTGACGGCACAGACGAGCACGATAGTGAGGATGAGATGTCTGATGTTATCTCGTCGGATACTTCGGCCGTTGATGCTGGGGATGCTTCGAATACAACTCCAGACCCGGATCCAGACTCTTTCCGCTCGATGAAACTATCTTCCCCGCCGAAGGTCGTGATTCCGTTGAAGAGAGGGCGGAAGCGGAAGGCCGTTGTGCAGAAGGATGACACCGACGAGGACACGTCCTCGCCTCGTCCAAAGAGGGTTGCGTTGCCCAAAGGCGGTGGTGATAAGGCTACGAAGCGTGGTGCGGCACCGCCGGTGCGTAGGTCTGCTAGACAGAAGAAGTAGGAAGGTTATGTTGGTAATTTTAAATCTAGGGCTATTTATGACATGTACAATGACTAAAATGAATTTGCATATACTCTCCAAAGGGATAGTATCGTCCAAAAATAAGTAATTTTGTGTATAATTCTCTTGCCTAAGCATACTCCTTGTTGAATGCGCGTCCGATGACCATCCTACGGATCTCGCTTGTACCGGCACCAATCTCATACAGCTTCGCGTCCCTGAGAAGACGTCCAGCAGGGATCTCGTTGATATACCCGTTGCCTCCCATGAGCTGGATGGCATCAAGCGTGCATTCAGTCGCACGTTCAGCGGCATAGAGGATTGCACCAGCGCAGTCCTGAGTGCGGACGGTCAGCTCGCCAGGTTCCACGGCGGCGTTGTCTACCTGCCGTGCCGTGGCATAGGTGTATGCACGCGAGGCAGCCAGCTTAGTATACATGTCCGCAAGCTTGCCCTGGATCAGCTGGTTGTGGGCGATCGGGGTACCGAATTGCTTGCGCACGTGTGTGTAAGGAAGGACAAGGTCAAGTGCGGCTTGCATGATTCTATGAGGTGTTAGAATGTGAAAGGTGTGCTGTGGTATGAGATGGCTCACCCTAGTGGTCCTGCACTCAGGACGAGTCGCTCCAAGTCCAGACCCTCCATCAAGACGCGGACACCGCGGTTCAGCTCACCCAGAATGTTCTCCCGGGGAACGAAAACATCCTCAAAGATAAGCTCGCCTGTGTTAGAGCCGCGCATACCCAACTTGTCTAGCTTACGTGCGCAGGAGAAGCCCTTGAAGCCCTTCTCAACTATGAACGCTGTGATACCTTTGGAGCCTAGTTCAGGCTCTGTCTTGGCGTACACGACAATGTAATCGGCATCAGGGCCCTGCAAGAAAGTGTGAGCAATGAGGTCGGAACTTCCAATTCCATCTATACCACCAAAATGACATACGTTGGTAATCCACATCTTGGTTCCGTTCAAGAGCCAGCCTCCATCCACCTCCTTCGCCGTGGTCTTCATGCTGACTACATCGGAGCCAGCTGAATGCTCCGACATTGCGAGAGCACCGACTTTCTCGCCTGAGAGGAGACCGGGAAGAATACGTTCTTTTTGCTCTGTCGAGCCATTGAGGGAGAGCTGGTTCACGCAGAGCTGGGAGTGGGCGGCGTAGGAAAGACCAATGCTTCCTTTTTATCCAGAACCGAGGTCAGATCGATTCTCAAGTAGCATATACTAAAAGACCTACCGGATGCTCGGCTAATCTCTTCCATCACCACACAATGTGCCTGGTAGCCCATACCCAAGCCACCGTACTCCTCGTTGGCGGTGACACCGAGGAACCTTCATATCCATTAGCATGCGCTGTTTAGCACACTCCCTCCTTGAAGAAATGAATCAATAACTTGAGAGCACACATACCCAGCATCACCCATTTTCTTCCACATTTCCGCTGGGAACTCATTCTGTTCATCTGTCCGTGCAGCAACATCGGCTGGGATCTCTCGCCCTAAAGCAAGGTTAGAAACGTGGCTTGGGCAAGAGCATGGGTAACGTACTTGTGAAATCTTGCACACGTTCTCGCAACTCTAGAAGATCGTCTTCGGACGGAGGTGCAAAGCCTGTGGGGTGTTTTGTTGAGATGGAGCGGAAACATGGGGTGAGTGCGGGGATGCGGTTTAACCGCACCGCACGCGTTGATGTGCGAAGGAGAGAAAGGAGGGTTAAGGAGGCCATGGTTATATGAGAGAATCGATGTAGAATACAAAAGCTGGGATAATTGCTCTTGGGGAAGTGGACCATTTAAATATGTGTGTAGGGGAGGGTGCGGTAGTCCTCGGCGCGCAATCAAGGACTTGTTAGACTCTATGTATGCACGAGTTTCCCACCTTAGAACATATTCAAGTCTTCACGTTTTGGGATTTCTGGCCAATATTATGATCTATCTATCTATCTACAGGCCAATTGATTGTCTACTCTATACTCTTTTTATCTCATCAATTGTCTAATATCCTTTTGGTCCTTTTTAGTCTTTTCAATGGGAATGATGATGGCCCTCGGGTATAAGCGGCAATCGTCGCACCTCCGCATTTGGGGAAACCCCAGCTTTGTGCCTTCGCTTCTCTTCTGCCGTTCGCTGATATGAGGTTAAATACTTCGGGAGACTCACAATATACCTATACATCCCTCTCCGTTTTGACTTGAGTTGAGCTTCTACTATCATCTTCTCAGAACCTGCTACACTCCACCTTCCCCGCAATGCGTGCCCCGTCCCCGCTCGTCCTTCGGAGCTGGGGCTCACGACTCGGACCACGCAAATGTCTAAACTCACTCCGCCAGTCAACAAATATTACGCGGCCAGCTTATAGAACAGTAGCAAGTTATACACATCCTCACCATGCCTCAGCCCTTTCCGTCCTCCCCACAGCAGTGGACACCTCCTCACAGGAGTACCGCGAAAACAGCGATCGAATGCAAGAACTCCTAGACCGGATGAACGGCCTACACACCACAATTGCGCGTGGAGGAAACGACAAAGCGCGTGAGAAGCATATCGCCCGCGGTAAAATGCTCCCAAGAGACCGGATCTCCGCCCTAGTCGACCCAGGCACCTCCTTCCTAGAGCTATCAGCACTTGCAGGACACGGTGTTTACGAAGGCGAGGATGTTCCAGCAGGCGGAATTATCACCGGCATTGGAATGGTCGAGGGTGTCAACTGCATGATTGTTGCGAACGACAGCACCGTCAAGGGCGGCACCTACTACCCCATCACAGTGAAGAAGCACCTCCGCGCACAGGCGATTGCGCAAGAGAACCGCCTCCCATGCATCTACCTCGTTGATTCTGGTGGCGCAAACCTGCCTCATCAGGCAGATGTATTCCCAGATCGTGATCATTTCGGTCGGATCTTCTTCAACCAGGCCCGCATGAGCTCTCTCGGTATCCCACAACTCTCTGTTGTCATGGGTCCCTGCACAGCGGGTGGTGCATATGTGCCTGCTATGAGTGACGAGACTATCATCGTCGAGAACCAGGGTACTATCTTCCTGGCAGGTCCGCCTCTCGTCAAGGCCGCGACGGGAGAGGAGGTTTCCGCCGAAGACCTGGGTGGTGGTCAGCTGCATTCAAGCATTTCCGGTGTAACGGATTACCTGGCTGTCGACGATGCACACGCTCTTGTCCTTGCTCGTCGCTCCGTCGCGAATCTCAACTACCCTACCACGACAACTCCGCTCCAGCTAGAGAACGGTAATGGAGATTCTCTTGTCGTGAAAGAACCGCTGTACGACCCTAATGAACTAAACGGGATCGTTGGTACGAATCTACGCCGCCAGATTCCTGTCCATGAGGTCATCGCGCGGATTGTTGATGGGAGTGAATTCGCCGAGTTTAAACGTGATTATGGCTCGACCCTGGTAACGGGCTTTGCCCGCATCCACGGCCATCGTGTCGGTATCGTTGCCAACAATGGAATTTTGTTCTCTGAATCCTCGCTGAAGGGAGCTCATTTCATTGAGCTTTGCGCTCAACGGCGGATCCCTCTTGTCTTCTTGCAGAATATCTCCGGATTCATGGTCGGTGCTGATGCCGAGAAGGGAGGTATCGCGAAGAACGGTGCTAAGCTTGTTACTGCTGTTGCCTGCGCCGATGTCCCCAAGTTCACTGTTGTGTTTGGGTCCAGTGCTGGTGCTGGAAATTACGGGATGTGGTAAGTTTTTCTTAGGCTGTTTCTGGTACTTTTCTAACTGGTATTGCTTTAGTGGCCGTGCCTACTCGCCTCGTCTTCTCTTTATGTGGCCTAATGCTAAAATTGGCGTTATGGGCTCCGAGCAACTCTCTGCCGTTATGGAGGCTGTTGGACGATCCGCTGATCCGGCTTTGAAAGAACGCATTGATCGTGAATCCGAGGCGACCTTTTCATCCGCTCGTTTGTGGGATGATGGTGTCATCCCGCCATCTCAGACGAGGAAAATGCTGGGGTTGGGCCTGGCAGCTGCGCTCAGTGGTAAGGCTGAGCCGGATGTACAAACCAGGTTTGGCGTGTTCCGTATGTAGAGTGCTAAATGGGTGGAATGAGATATGCAAATTTTCATCGAGGATGATCCGTTAAAACATAAAATGGAAGACGTATGTTCAAGTGACATTTTGGAATAGTGAAGTGGAAATGTGAAGTGTAGCCTACAGGCCTCTGCAGAGTCTCATTCTTGAGTCTAGTTGGCCTCTAGAACTGTACACGGTCCGAGGAGCTCATCGCAGAAAACGGCTCAGCATGTCCATGATATCCAGTACTATATTTTCACACCTTTCTATGTTGACGGCAAAGGGTTCAACCACATGCCTAACATTCAAGGGATCTAGCGCGAATCTCTCAACCAAAGGATAATAGCAACAGGACCAAAAGAAAGAAAGCACTTTTTCCTCCATCTCGTGAAAGTAGTCTTTTTAGAGTCCAGATCAACCAAACCTCATATATGTCAAATATAAAAAAAGAGGGTGACACCAATTGTGTACAGCCCAAAAGAAAAGAAAACAAAAGAAATAAATCTGTAGCAGCGAAGCAGGGCTCTATAAGGGGGAGAGGCATAGACATATAGAAAGAACATCAGTCATACATGACATGTTAAGATGCATAACAGCGTCGGGTGGGGCATATGTCGCAGAGGGGTCGTATCGCATGAAAATGAAACAAGACAAGGGCCGCTAGTCAAAGGGACCCCTGGAATTGTTGAAATCAAAGGATGATACACTGACCGCGGCGATTTCTCGGCCGGCGATTGTCTCTCTTGCGGTCATGACGGTTGGGGCCCTCGCGCTTGCGGCTGGGATCGTTGCTGCTCCTTGACCCCTCGGAGTCCTTGCGGATGATTTGGCGACACAGATCGACGAAGACTTCGTTGACGTTTGCGCGGCGGCGGGCAGAGGTCTCGTAGTATGGGGCATTACCCCATTTCTGGGATAGGCCGAATGCGCGGGCGCGTGGTACGGCACGGTCTTCCTCTAAGTCGGATTTGTTGCCCACGATCACGATTGGGACGTTTTCGTCGTCTTTGATTCGGATGATTTGTTCGCGGAGCTCGGAGAGTTCGTTTAGGGAGGACATGCTGGTGATGGAGAAGACGAGGAGGAAGCCCTGGCCTTGTTTCATGTAGAGCTCTCTGTGGGGGGCGTTGTTAGTACGGTGTGCTTTTCTCGGGGTCGGTCCGCGGAATCAATTGTGGTGCTGGGTGGATAGCTAGATTTACCTCATTGCCGCTTGAAGGTTGTTAGCTTAGGTCGTACGTAGGTAGGTGTGCTGATTTGGGGGGAGACTTACTGAACTGTTCTGTTCCTGCGGTGTCAAGACTTCAAAAATTTAGCATCATGCCATGTACCAAACCACCGAGGGACTCACATCTCCAGTATACATTGTCGACCCTGTCAAGCTTGGTTAACGGGGGAAATTTCCAGCGCATGGTAGACCACTTACGTCCACCTCAATCTGTTTCCGGTATGAATCCTCGATCGTGGGGTCGTAGCTTTCAATCCAGACATTTTGAACGAATTGGGCTGGAAGATGATCATTGATCAGCTTGAGGACTCAGGGCAGGACGAGGAACACAAGGAACGAACCTGTTAAGCAACTTTTTCCAACACCTCCTGTTATCGCGACGCATGGGAATGCCTGTGGTCAGCGTGTGACCTATGGGAATATCTCAGGAGAAGAGGCTCCTACCAGCACCCAAAACAACAATATGGTATTCGCGTCTAGACAGGGCGCAAATAAACAATTAGAATTGGATCTAACAGTATTTAGGGAGTATTCATCAACTCACTGTGGCCGCATTGAGAAGGATGTGTATCGATATTATTTAGTGATTCGGAATAGAAATCGAAATAGCTCTAGGACCGAAGGTCGGCTCTTGGTGTGGATCCCACGTGGTAGTATATATGACGATCTCAAATCTTAGAACAAGTTGGCTGTAATGAATTGGCCCATAAGCCACGTTGAATGCTTCAATTGTATTGTGTAGCTCGAGGATGGAAGAGCTTGGAAGGGCGGTACGCGGGTGCGGTTACATGGCCCGCCTTTTTGTGCACGGGAGGAGATTCGAGGGATTCGAGGGATTCGAGGGATTGGGTCCACTGAAGAGTATCAACGTATATATAAAGTAAAAGATATTTAGGGGTTTCTGCACGAAGTTTTTATTTTTCAGGAGGGGAGAAACGTCTGATAACGGGGGTTAGCCTAATTGCCCTCTCTGTCTTTTTAGCCCTTCGATCCAATCACATCATATGCCGAGATTGTCTCTGGCGGTCAGGCACTAACTGTAAGTATATGCCTTCTCGGCAATGTTTTTGATCTCTTTCTTTTCTTTGGGGTCCATTTTGGGGTCTTTTTAACCTTTTCTTTACCGGTTTCAAATTCCATCCCTGTGAATATGGGTCACGTGACTGGCAGTGGATAGTATCAAAGTGTTGAAGCCTCGAGGTCACTTGTGTTTCAAGATACTCGGCATCTATCAGTTTTGTTTATTTCAACTTGATACCTCGTGTGTGCGAGAGAGAGTGGAATAAAGACACGTTCCATAATTGGTCAATGTTCATTGGACCTCGGGACAAGGACAAGGATGCATCACATAGACCCGAACGGACCAACTGCTGCAGGGGGAGGTCCACAAAGGAGCACTCCCCGGTTTCATGATGGAAGGAAAAAATATAACTATATATTGGATAACATACACACGCAAACAGAATAGGTTACCCACATATGTATTTAGTATCCCGAATAAAGTAAACAGCCCTCAATGATTTTGGGGAAAGCCGCGTACGTCATATATAGGCATACTACCAAGGTAACTATGTATCTCGGGAAATTTGTGGAGAGGAACTGATTCTGATACATCCATGAATACAGAGTATACATTCAACATTCAAATCTTCCTTTTGAAATCTGTTTCGAATTACATTAACCCTTCAGCGCTAGTACTGTTGAAGTTTAAAACTCGCTACATTCTTTTTAAGGCCAATATGTTTGCCTTAGCCCCTCAGTTAGGTACCCCAGCAGGTAGCATGTTTAAAGACATAGGGAATCATATCTGCATAATCTCCAAGGCTAGATCTTCAAATTCAAAGTCACTAGTGAGATAACACATATATTCAAACTAAATAACAATCTATTTCGTGCAGCTTCACATGGCATGGACGGATACGTCATGTCCATCACGTGATGCACACAGGCTAGCCTCTGTCTTCTTGCCGCCAGCTTTACCGGTTGCATTCTCACCATCCCTCGCTCCATTGCCATCCTAATAGCTCTTTGACCTGTTTTCCCACACACGATATCCTTTATAACCAAAAATGGCCTCTTTCCAGGAGCGTGCTCAGCACTCTATTGCTCAGCTTGACAAGGAGGTACGTTTCCAGCTATTGTTGTGTGTTTCACTGGCGCCTCAGGTCTAGCCCTCGCCTGGTGACTGCAATGATTCTAAGCGCCAGCGACCACAACAGGAGCGACTACAATCGCATCCTTTGATAAACACTTCAAGATGTTATCTATCGCTGTGATTTTCAAGCTGACATCTATCATTTTGTAGCTCTCCAAGTACCCTGTCCTCGCCAACCTCGAGCGTCAGACCAATGTCCCCAAGGTCTATGTCATCCTCGGCCTCGTCGGAATCTACTTCTTCCTTGTCTTCTTCAACATTGCTGGCGAGTTCCTCGTCAACTTTGCCGGTTTCCTCGTCCCCGGTTACTACTCCCTTCAGGCGCTTTTCACCTCAAGCACCCAGGATGACACCCAGGTAAGATTTTTTGTAACTTTTTCCTGTCCATGCGCAAATCGCTAACCATGTTTTTCTTCACTCTCACAGTGGCTCACGGTATGTTCATATGACTCTATCACCTTGTTGTCGCAATCGTGCGGAAGTATGGGATCACCGCCGATTCGGGGTTATCATACACCATCCACGTGACATCTTTCCCGCTCGCACGACCAGTGATTCTAACACCTGACTTGATAGTACTGGGTTGTCTTCGCTTTCCTGACTGTCATTGAGAGCGCCATCAGCGCCGCTTACTGGTTCCGTATGTGCCCACAAGATGCCAATCTTTCTACTACTTTGCTAACTGATCACAGCCTTCTACTACATCTTCAAGTTCGTCCTGATCATGTGGATGGCTCTTCCCCAGACCAGGTATGTCCTATCTCATGACCAAGCCTAGACCAGTAGCTGACCTTTTATGACAGCGGTGCCCAAGTTGTCTTCCACTCCTTCCTCCAGCCCGTGGTTGGACGTTTCTTCTCCACCAACGGTACCTCCTCCAACCTCCGCGCCCAGGCCGAGGCTGCGAGCAAGCCCCACTCCACCTAGAGAGGTATAGTCTTACCTCTTAGCTGAGAATCGCATGGACAATAAAAGCTCCGTGGAACCTGCTTTGGCGCGGGTCGCGGATCCGATTCTCTGTGCCCGGTGGGGCATTAAGCACGAAGTGAAGTTGTTGGCTCAAAGCTTCGTTGCTATGATTAAATAGGAGCAGTGCAATAGCCGGAATATGAAATAGAGAGGACCCGAGAAATGTTGCGACAGGTCCGTGGTTGGATATTCGCTGAATATGAGAATGTCTTGTCTTGGTTCTTGCCATTTTGTCACACTCGAGTGGTTTAGTTGCTTAGTTCGTACATTGTCAATTGGGATGCAGTTGGTTTTCGGATGTTAGAGATCTACGTCGTCTACATATATCTTATTTTGTATCTTATTTGGGGTGCTGCACTAGGTATGCGCCATCGAGGTACATCCCCGCACAAGTAGGGATACTTTGGCCAAGCTACACAAGCTACAGGTTCACACAGCAGCCCATGCTTTTTCACTCTCCATACATGTCGTATCAACAGCATCGCCTGGCTTCTCAAAATATTGCGCGTAGCTATCCTCGTATGTACTTCTGATAATTTCACACATCTCATTAATCCGATCAACAAGACAGCTCTTCGGACCAACATGCGTCTTACAACCATTCTTCATCAAGAATCCCCTGACGCTCCTCGGGCGTAAAAATCAACCACCTTCATCCGCCTACTCCAGGGTCAAAGCCAAACACATTAATGGACCTCGAGGAGGTGGTCTGACGGCAAACCAACTTTGACCAACGTCCTTCTGTTCCGATAATGACAGCTAATCGGTGCTAACAAAGATACCCCCCACCACCCTTCTCCGAAGAAGATTCCAGCGCTTCTTGTAAGCTGCCGAGCTCTCCAGCAAGCAAGTTAGGATCATCACACTTCCGAGCCTTGTCAAAATCAATCAAGATAGCTCTCGAGTCCCGAACCAAGAAGTTGAACCGATTCACATCACCATGCTTAATCCCCAAAGCATGTAACCGAGCGAGTGTCTGCTGGCAAATCTCAAGATCCTGAGGCCCAGCATGTCGCGCATTGGCGATACGCTCCATCAAAAAACCAATAACACGACCATCTTCAACGAGATGTCCTAGGAACCGGGGTCCAATGTTATGATCCTCAATCAACCGGTAGCTAGCAGTCTCGCCCTCCATATACCCAATTTCCCAGTCAAAGCGAGCAAACTTGACAACGACAAGTTCCTCAAATTGCGGACATTTGACTTCGTAAACTCCCGTCCGAAGTCTCCTGCTCTCGCCGAGATCCATGTAATCAACAAAGGTATTATGCCATGTATTCTCACGAAGCTCGAGTAGCGCGTGCGAAGTACGGCTCGCCGGTTTCTGGATGTTTGTTTACCAGCCCAGCGTTCCAATCGCCTGTAGGAAGTTCTGGGAGAATCGTGGCGAGAGATGGACCGAAGCACATATCATCTGTGCTCCAGATACCTTGGGCGATAGTGATATACCTTACTAACCCGTTGATCAGAAGCCGGAAATAACTTTCGTCGTCATTGTCGGCTTCTGCTTGAAGCAATGTGATGCTTCTTTGGTCCTGCATTGGGGTGTTGGCACACTGTATGGAGGGGCAGTTGAATCTTCGGCTAGATATTGGGTGTTGGGGGATCAGGTGGAATATTATTGGCCCAATGGTACCATTTTGCTTACAACTTGCAGGCTGTCATGCACGGTGTAGCTCTCATAGAATATGTTTCGTACCTAAGTAGAGTGTTTAATGACAAATTCCGCGATGGTCTGGTTGAAGAGACGCTGTACACCGAAATCACACACCTCTCCGGTCTATGCTGCCTCGTGAAGGATATAGAAGGCCCGCAGGATATCCGCATTTATTTTCGTAATCGAGTTAAAAAAACAGCTTCATATGTACTTACGCCACATTGTAAAAAAACACCAGCCCAGCCCTTTCAAAATTCCCAAAAGAAATAAACACCTAAGCACTAAACTCCGTATGGCCATCGCTTGAAAGGTCAAGAACAGCACATGAGGTTTCGTAGGCTCATAGTATAGCCCTTTTTATAATATCTGACAGACTTCGTAAATCGTATCGGGGTCGATCGCCCGCGGCCATGTTCCATTGAAGGAAATAAAAGCAACGTGTCCGGTTGGTTGAACAATAATCGGAGTGGGAACGTATCAGACTTTACGATTCCGCGATTCCACGTATCGTCCAAGCTCTTAATCAAACCACATAGCTCAGTAGAGCCCCATGCGATTACCCCAGCCGTCAGCGCGAGGGTTGACGACAATCCGATAGGGGAATGGGTTGGAATCGCTAGTGGTAATGGGTGGGATATGGTCTTTATCTCGATTTACCACGCTCAAGATTTTCAAGGCTGCCTTTTGCAGCATATTTCCCATTGCCTTGCGCACTTTGGCTCGTTCTGTGACCAAAATTAGTTCTGGATAAAGGGACCCGCAGACTGTACATACCAGACTCAGTGCGCGGTGTTGCGATCGTCACATCAAGTGTCCAAATCTCCCAGCACACCTCTTCCTCGCCTTTCCCAGTTAATCCGCCAAACCAGTGCCCAGAGCGACGCCGTTTCTTCTCGTAGAACTCGACTGCGATCCGCCCTCGCACGCCCCCGCCCCCTCCGACAATTTGACCATCCTGCCCGCCGGCTGCGGAGGATAAGTGCTGCCGGACCAGAGCTGATACGCGCGATTCAATTAACGTCTCTAGATCTGCATCGTTTATAGCGGGGAGTGTGAAATCGAGCACGTCAAAGGTGACCGGCCGGATAGAAGGGAAGTAACGGTGGAAGAAGATGAGGTTGAGGACACCTGGCAGGAAACACTTTTCAGTAAAAACATGATCACATATGTCTCCGGTTCACAACTAACCCTTCAGTACATCTCGCACATGGGTGGTGTCGGCGAAGATCTCCAGGAAGTACTCCGGAGGGGTTTTGCGGGGCTCCATCCCCGCCATGACGCAGCTCGCAACCAAGCCGGTTGGGGTTGGGTGCAGGCTCAGACAGCTTTTGTTGGTAGAAGGGGGAAGTATTGTCGTAAATACAGAATAGAGGAATAGTCAGGAAGCAAGTTGTTGTATAGAACTGGAGGGATGTAAGGTGGAGTGATGACCCCAAGGGTAATATGGCAAGGGGGGGGGCGGGCCTGTATCGGACGTAGCCGACTGAAGCTTATCGCTTATCATCGAACTGGGGGAAACCAGTTTGAAAGAGAACGCTTATGTTGAAGAAGTACGGAGTGTACGGAGTATGCGGAGTATACAAAAGAGCGATGAGAAGAGAAAAAATAAGAAAGAGACATACACTTGGGCAGGGATTAGCGGGTTGTTGCGGGATGGCCATGCCAAATCCGGGGGAGAGCTCTAATGTGACACAATAATTGATGATTTAGAGGAATGAAAAGATATAACTATATACTATGTACATAGTCAAATATCTAGTTAGAGCATGCAGTACCTAGGTATGTTTGTAGGTACTTTTAACCCTACGTGGTGTTTTATAGGTCCGGTTCACTCTTGCATAACGGTGAGCTCTAGTTAGCCGAGGCCTGAAACTGGCGATCAGCGCCCGAAGCCTCTCTTCCTCATCTACTGAATCATCCATCTCCTGGATCTATTATGATTTGAAATTGCCTATCATTTTAACTTCTTTCCAGAGAAGCACCAAACACAATTATGATCGGTGCGACGAGGCGCTGGTTCCAGCGCAATCGCAAAGGTCTTGCAATTGGGGCTGGGGTGGTAGGAGCCGGCTACTTGGCCGGACAATATGTCCTATCCAAGATCTCCGAGGCACGGGAGCGCATGAGCAGCGATCGGATTGCCCGCGAAAAGTCAGTTGCCCTTGATTCGATGACTCCTATCCCTCCACTGGCAAGCGCGAGCTTGTAGCACGTGCAACCTCGACCAGAATACCCCGAACCGGAATCACTGACCCATCGCAATAGTCTGCGCCGACGATTCGAACAAAACCAAACCGATTGCACATACACTGTCCTTGCCTTGTTGCCGACCGCCGCCGAGAATATTATCGATGCTCTCCCAGTTGAGGAGTTGACCAAGGAGCTGCAGCAAAAGCGGGCGGAGAGGTTGGCTCGACTGAATGCAGGCGAGGCAACTGGGTCAGATCTGAGCTCAGTAGCCCCGAGTCTGCCAGACGATGATCGGAGAAGCCTCTCCAGTTTCCAGAGTGAGGGATATGTGCACGCAAGCCAGATCGGAGACTCTGCTCTGAACTCGGACGGACAACCTCGGCCCAAACGGAACAAGACCCAACTGTGGAATGAGGTGAAGATTACCTGTGAGCCTTTATTTCGTCCATAATCAACCCCGTCTGGTAGAAGTTAACATTTTCTAGCTGTCACTCGGTCTTTTACTATGGTCTACACTCTCTCCTTGCTCACCGTCTTCACTCATATCCAACTTAACCTACTCGGCCGCCGGAACTACCTCTCTAGCGTGATCTCCCTTGCTACACCACCTGCGAACGCCTCGACAATCAGTCTTGAAGACCACGATGATGAGCTCACTCAAACATTGGGCGATGACTTCGAGACCAACCGACGTTACCTCGCCTTCAGTTGGTGGCTGCTTCACCGCGGGTGGAAGGACGTGATGGGAAGGGTGCAAGCTGCCGTCGAGGAAGTATTTGGACCTTTGAATCCACGTGAGGATATCAGCTTGGCCAAGCTCTCTGAGTTGACCTTGCAAATCCGAAAGAAGGTGGAAGGCAGCACCGAGGACGAGCGACGATCTCAAAAATGGCTTTCTTGCTTGCTTCCGCCGGCAGAGGAAGAGGAACATGTCTTACGCGAGTCGGGCGTGGAAGGCGTAGCTGACCCGTCCTCTTCCCAGACGGCGTCGAAGCTGCGACACCTCCTAGATGAGACAGCAGATTTGATCGACTCTCCTTCTTTCTCCCTTGTCCTTACACTTCTTAACAACGAGGGATTCTCAACCCTTATCGATCAAAGGTGTGCCGCTGATGCCTTCAAGGCGCCCACCTCCACCTCCGCACCAGAGACTGCTCCGCAATCATTTGATTCAATCGCCACTGTTGTGCCCCTGGCTGCCAACTCCGAGCGTAAGACAAAGCTTGCCAACCTCCTAGCTGTCATGACTCGCCAGACACACGTAATTGGCAATGGTGCCCACCCGCCAAATGAGTATTTGGTCGCCATGGACCAGAACGTGCGTGAGCTCGAGGCCTTCTCTGCCGTGGTCTATAGCTCGAACTTTGACCTCGAGCTTCTTGGTGCTAAGAACAACGCCGTACCGACCAGGGAGGCGGATCTAGTCGATAATGACACTGCTTCATCATCTTTTTCCCAGGTGATAGTTGAGAAGGAAGTTAAAGCCGATTTAAAGGGGGAGGAGGAGATCATTGAGCCACAACCACGCAGTCTTGTGCCCGATGAACCTGCCTTCAATGAGCCTGAGCCTGAGCCTTTGGCGGCCTCGGCCTTTGAGGAGGCATGGGGCAAGGCCACGGATGATGGGAACACCTCCCCAACAGAAGAAAACCAGCCAACACAGTAAGGCAATGAAGGACTCTTCAACCTTGATGGCGATTCGTGTGATTCTCTCTATAACCTTACACCCTTGGTTTTTTGCCGATCGTTCTGGACCTGGTTTCTATTTCCTCTACGTACATTATCTTTGCGATAGAATTGAGGTATGCTAATGATATATGCCAATTCAATTACCTATCTTACCTATTTCTAGCAATGTTTTCCCTGTTTTTATTCTCTACAACAAATTAGGCATGAATGCGTCATGGTTTAGCGAGCACGCCTAATTGTATGATCTTATACCCCAGACCAAAGTAGACTAGTGTGAGTGGAGTCACCGGGGCCCTATGCTTGGGGATAGTGGCGCTGAGACACATATAAGGATGCTAGGACATCGCCGAGTGAGATTATGGAGCCATATTATGTATCTACAAATAAAATGCTTGGAAAGCAAAAGATATGTGCTGGACACATCCGCTAGCACAGATATAGATTTTCAGTCTACAACAGTAGTTCATACATAGTTCATACTAGTGTCGTATGTCACATTTATTTTTCCCCACTCATCACAATGGTTTCCGTCTTCGGCTTGTGCCTCATTCTGAATGTCAATGTCTCATCAGGCACAGGCACTTTTTCCTTTTGTCTCTTCGTAAAAACGCGGATACGCTGAAACATCTTGACGTCACGACTATACTCTTTTTCCTATTGCAGCTTGCGAGCTCCACCAATGAGCTAATACAGCCCACTTGGTGTGGCGCAGCTCTCTCCGTTGTTTTTTGTTTTTTGTCGCGCAATTGAAACTTTACCGTATTGAACTATGACCTTGTTTTGTTGTATATGTATTGACATAGCACTTTTAATGGGCATTTTCACCGTTTTTAACCGAAGGGGTTGGAGGGTCACCCTATGTCCTTTCTTCCAAGCGTTAGTCCAATTATGGTATGCATCAATACTGTCCGAGCCATTGGCTGACGAAGTACCTCCAATGGGAATACTACCCCCCGGCTATTTTAAAGGCAAATTCCATGTGCATGATAAAATATCTCTTCCTCT